CAGGCACCATAGTTTACATGACTGAGATACTTATAAAGAGTCTCTAATTGCTGGAAACATTTTTATGGCCCTTTTGGAACGGATCGGGTGAGATTGGAGTCATGGAGAAGGTTGTATTGCTCAACTGCTGTGAAGTCTTCAGGGAGCTCCAGGACAGGGCAGTTCCGTCTGGCAGGGGTCCCCAAATCACAATACTGGCTGAACGGAATTGTGAATCCTTTGTCAGGTAACACCTTGTGAAGGGTTCTAGATCTGTGAAGGGTTCTAGATCTGCGGCGTGTTGCCGCCCGGAGTTCAGCTTCAATATTTGAAGGCATCCATCCAACCCCCGTCCTGGAAGCGTGTCACCCGGAGCTATTAATTGACATTTTCTCCCCGGATACTCGGAGAAAAATAAAAGAGATGAATCAGCTTCACAGCGATCTGATCTCCTCCAGCACGGTGGGAGGATTACGGTCCCGGCTATTCATTATTCATGGCGGCAATGACAATCAAGATGTGCCCATCACTGGCTGGAAGTGTGCTGAGATCATCAAATCTCCGAGTGAAGGTTACCGCCACGGCAAAGAGACGAATAATGAAGCCATGGATCCAGGAAAAAGACGGTCCAGGCTAGATTCCCCCCGGGCTATACTCCACACATGTCAGATGATGTGTTCCTGGCCTACTGTGGGCGTCGGATGATTTAAAGGGGAACTCTGGTCTCTGCAGCTCTGGTTTTAAGAAAGAAAATATTTAAAATTTCGGCTTTGGGAGAAAAACTGTGCTTTACCCATAAGATACTTCCTATTATGAAGGAGCTTGTGACAACCATGGATGGTCGTTATCCTATGGATGGTCCATACTCTGCTGGAAGGTTGGAGCCTACCAAGTGTGAGAAGTCATTCTCTGGTTCTTGTACCTCCTTCCACACCACCTTGTCAACATTAGAGTACCAGAAGATGCCTTGCACTTGCTCATTCCCATGGATGGTCCAACCTCCTAGCAGAGTAGGAACCATCCATAGGATGAGAAGTCATTCTCTGGTTCTCTACCTACTTCCACACCACCTTGTCCACACCAGAGCCCCATTAGATACTTCCTATTATGAAGGAGCTTATAACAACCATGGATGGTCGTTATCCTATGGATGGTCCATTCTCTGCTGGAAGGTTGGAGCCTACCAAGTGTGAGAAGTCATTCTCTGGTTCTTGTATCTCCTTCCACACCACCTTGTCAACATTAGAGTACCAGAAGATGCCTTGTACTTGCTCATTCCCATGGATGGTCCAACCTCCTAGCAGAGTAGGAACCATCCATAGGATGAGAAGTCATTCTCTGGTTCTCTACCCACTTCCACACCACCTTGTCCACACCAGAGCCCCATTAGATACTCCCTATTATGAAGGAGCTTATAACAACCATGGATGGTCGTTATCCTATGGATGGTCCATTCTCTGCTGGAAGGTTGGGGCCTACCAAGTGTAATACCCATCCATGGTCGTCACATGCTCCTCCATACTAGGAAGTATCTTATGGGGCTTTGGTGCGGACAAGGTGGTGTGGATGCAGGTTCAAGAACCAGAGAATGACTTCTCATCCTATGGATAGTTCATACTCTGCTAGAAGGTTGGACCATCCATGGGAATGAGCAAGTACGAGGTATCTTCTGGTACTCGGTTGACAAGGTGGTGTGGAAGCATACTCTGCTGGAAGGTTGGAGCCTACCAAGAGTGAGAAGTCATTCTCTGGTTCTTGTACCTGCTTCCACACCACCTTGACCGCACCAGAGTCCCATAAGATGCTTCCTATTATGAAGGAGCTTATGACGACCATGGATGATCTTTTACAGTTGGTAGGCTCCAACCTTCCAGCAGAATATGGACCATCCATAGGATGAGAAGTCATTTTCTGGTTCTTGTACCTGCTTCCACACCACCTTGTCAACATTAGAGTACCAGAAGATACCTCGTACTTGCTCATTTCCATGGATGGTCCAACCTTCTAGCAGAGAATGGACCATCCATAGGATGAGAAGTAATTCTCTGGTTCTTGTACCTGCTTCCACACCACCTTGTCCGCACCAGAGCCCCATAAGATACTTTCTATTATGAAGGAGCTTATGACAACCATGGATGGTCGTTATCCTCTGGATGGTCCATACTCTACTGGAAGGTTGGAGCCTAGTGTAACAACCATCCATGGTCATCATAAGCTCCTTCATAATAGGAAGTATCTAATGGGGCTCTGGTGCAGACAAGGTGGTGTGGAAGCAGGTACAAGAACCAGAGAATGACTTCTCATCCTATGGATGGTCCATACTCTGCTGGAAAGTTGGAGCCTACCAAGTGTGAGAAGTCATTCTCTGGTTCTTGTACCTCCTTCCACACCACCTTGACCTCACTAGAGCCCCATAAGATACTTCCTATTATGAAGGAGCTTATGACGACCATGGATGATCTTTTAGGTAGGCTCCAACCTTCCAGCAGAATATGGACCATCCATAGGATGAGAAGTCATTCTCTGGTTCTTGTACCTGCTTCCACACCACATTGTCAACATGAAGGTGCTTATGACGACCATGGATGGTCATTTATACTTGGTAGGCTCCAAACCTCTAGCAGAATATGGACCATTCATAGGATGAGAAGTCATTCTCTGGTTCTTGTACCTGCACACACACCAGAGCCCCATAAGATAATTCCTATTATGAAGGAGCTTATAACAACCATGGATGGTCGTTATCCTATGGATGGTCCATACTCTGCTGGAAGGTTGTAGCCTACCAAGTGTGAGAAGTCATTCTCTGGTTCTTGTACCTGCTTCCACACCACCTTGTCAACATTAGAGTACCAGAAGATGCCCCATTCATTCTTGTGGATGGTCCGTACATATGGCAGTCTCCAGCCAACAAGGAGAGTGTAGACCAGGGGTGGGCAAACTTTTTGACTTGAGGGCCGCAATGGGTTCATATATTGGACCCGGGGGCCGGACCAAGAGTACATGAATGATGTGTATGTGTCATCCATAGTAAGTATAGTAATATTCCCCCATAGTAAGCATAGTAATGAATCCCCCATATAGTAATTCATCCCCCATAGTAATTCATCCCCCATATAGTAATTCATCCCCCATATAGTAATTCATCCCCCATATAGTAATTCATCCCCCATAGTAATTCATCCCCCATATAGTAATTCATCCCCCATATAGTAATTCATCCCCCATATAGTAATTCATCCCCCATATAGTAATTCATCCCCCATATAGTAATTCATCCCCCATATAGTAATTCATCCCTCATATAGTAATTCATCCCCCATATAGTAATTCATCCCCCCTATAGTAATTCATCCCCCCTATAGTAATTCATCCCCCATATAGTAATTCATCCCCCATATAGTAATTCATCCCCCATATAGTAATTCATCCCTCATATAGTAATTCATCCCTCATATAGTAATTCATCCCTCATATAGTAATTCATCCCCCATATAGTAATTCATCCCCCATATAGTAATTCATCCCTCATATAGTAATTCATCCCTCATATAGTAATTCATCCCCCATAGTAATTCATCCACCATAGTAATTCATCCCTCATAGTAATTCATCCCCCATAGTAATTCATCCCCCATATAGTAATTCATCCCCCATATAGTAATTCATCCCCCATATAGTAATTCATCCCCCCTATAGTAATTCATCCCCCATATAGTAATTCATCCCCCATATAGTAATTCATCCCCCCTATAGTAATTCATCCCCCCTATAGTAATTCATCCCCCATATAGTAATTCATCCCCCATATAGTAATTCATCCCCCATATAGTAATTCATCCCCATAGTAATTCATCCCCCATATAGTAATTCATCCCCCATAGTAATTCATCCCCCATGTAGTAATTCATCCCCCATGTAGTAATTCATCCCCCATATAGTAATTCATCCCCCATATAGTAATTCATCCCCCATAGTAATTCATCCCCCATATAGTAATTCATCCCCCATAGTAATTCATCCCCCATATAGTAATTCATCCCCCATATAGTAATTCATCCCCCATATAGTAATTCATCCCCCATATAGTAATTCATCCCCCATAGTAATTCATCCCCCATATAGTAATTCATCCCCCATATAGTAATTCATCCCCCATATAGTAATTCATCCCCCCTATAGTAATTCATCCCCCATATTAAGTCCCCAAGTCCCCCTGTGTCAATTCACTTACCTTTGCTCCGCGCGTTCCTCTCGCCGTGTTCCCGCGCCGTTCCGGTGTAGCATGAAAATCTGTCTCCTATGAGGATCTGTCCCCCTCGACGTATCTGCGCATGTGCCAGTTTCAGGCATTAGCAGCCAATCGGCGATCTCCGGCACATGCGCAGATACCTCGAGGGGGACAGATCCTCATAGGAGACAGATTTTCATGCTACACCGGTCTTCAGGGCGGACTGTGAGAGGAGCCTAGCTGGAGCCTAGCTCCGCGGGCCGGATTAAAAGGTCCGCCGGGCCGTAGTTTGCCCATTGCTGGTGTGGACCATCAACAGATATGCATGGGGTTTCAGCTTGTGTGCACCCTGGGAGAAGACTTTTTCCTAGTGAAGATGTCCTTTAAGGAAACTCCCCACCCCTAGCGAGTTCTGTCTGGTAAAATAAGTTACCTCCTGCAAGCAAAACATCCCAACTGGGTTCTCATTCAAGTGCACACGTGAGCCACTACGCCATTCATTCCCATGGATGGTTCTCTTACATAAGACAGGCTCCAACCTTCCAGCAGAGTATGGTCTGTTCAAAGGATAAGTCATTCTCTAGTTCTTGCACCTACTTCCACATCACCTTGTCTACACCAGAGTCCCACAAGTTATCCTTTACATCCTTCTCACTGACCCCCAATGTAAGGGACATTCTTCCCACTGACCCCCAAAGTAAGGGACATTCTTCCCACTGACCACCAATGTAAGGGACATTCTTCCCACTGATCACCAATGTAAGGGACATTCTTCCCACTGATCCCCCAATGTAAGGTACATTCTTCACACTGACCCCCAATGTAAGGGACATTCTTCCCACTGATCACCAATGTAAGGGACATTCTTCCCACTGACCTCCAATGTAAGGGACATTCTTCCCACTGATCACCAATGTAAGGGACATTCTTCCCACTGATCCCCAATGTAAGGGACATTCTTCCCACTGATCCCCAATGTAAGGGACATTCTTCCCACTGATCACCAATGTAAGGGACATTCTTCCCACTGACCCCCAATGTAAGGTACATTCCTCCCACTGACCCCCAATGTAAGGGACATTCTTCCCACTGACCCCCAATGTAAGGGACATTCTTCCCACTGACCCCCAATGTAAGGGACATTCTGCCCACTGACCCCTAATGTAAGGGACATTCTGCCCACTGACCCCCAATGTAAGGGACATTCTGCCCACTGACCCCTAATGTAAGGGACATTCTTCCCACTGACCACCAATGTAAGGGACATTCTGCCCACTGACCCCTAATGTAAGGGACATTCTGCCCACTGACCCCCAATGTAAGGGACATTCTTCCCACTGACCACCAATGTAAGGGACATTCTTCCCACTGACCCCCCATTGTAAGGGACATTCTTCCCACTGACCACCAATGTAAGGGACATTCTTCCCACTGACCACCAATGTAAGGGACATTCTTCCCACCGACCCCCAATGTAAGGGACATTCTTCCCATTGACCCCCAATGTAAGGGACATTCTTCCCACTGACCCCCAATGTAAGGGACATTCTTCCCACCGACCCCCAATGTAAGGGACATTCTTCCCACTGACCCCCAATGTAAGGGACATTCTTCCCACTGACCCCCAATGTAAGAGACATTCTTCCCACTGACCCCCAATGTAAGGGACATTCTTCCCACTGACCCCCAATGTAAGGGACATTCTTCCCACTGACCACCAATGTAAGGGACATTCTTCCCACTGACCCCCAATGTAAGGGACATTCTTCCCACTGACCACCAATGTAAGGGACATTCTTCCCACCGACCCCCAATGTAAGGGACATTCTTCCCACTGACCACCAATGTAAGGGACATTCTTCCCACTGACCCATGAGTTGCAGATATAGTAATTATTAGCAGAGGTTTCCTGAGAACAGAAGATTGTTTCAAGGGTTCCTCTATCTTGAAAAGTTTGGAAAAGGCTGCCTTGGACTTTGCCCTGAGTGGGGCTCCATGTATCACAGAAGTAAGGTCACCACCCCTTGTGCGTCAGACTGGCCTGCCATAGCCAGAGCAGCACAGCGCACGTTCCATTCAGCAAAACAAGCCGAAAAATGAATTCTCCTCCGCAAAATGAATCTCTTTCTGTGTTCTTAATTAAAAGTTTCTTTTTCCTCCTCCAGGTACAAACAACAGACCGCGATATGCCACGCGCTCTTCAACATTCAGCCTAGTCCGCCCACGCCAACCTAGGCGGTAAAGAAAACAAAATCTAAAGAAGCTAATTTCAGCACGGCTTTAAATAAAACACACTAAAAGAAACTTCAAAACTTGGGGAGAGCGGCATGAGCGCGTCCAGGGGCGGGCTCCACTGGTGGAAAATTTGAACCCCTCTAATGGAGGCCAGGCGAGGGACTTTGAACAAAAGAATAAAAACGTGAATATAAAGCTGGGAAATCAAAACTTGTTTGGATGTTGAGCAATCATCATCACACATTCAGCTAGAGAGCGTGAGTGTGAAGAAGGGGAGGGAGGAGAAGGGTTGCCATGGTTACCGCTGCAAATTATTAGAAGAGTTCTAAAGTTAGGCTATTCATAGAGAAAGGTGCCGATACGCAGACTGCTCTCCCGCCACCATTACCAGCAGAAGGATTCCAACAAATGGTATTTGCATCTCAAGCAGCCAAATAATAACATCCAATTATCAGGTTAGAGACTCCGCGATTCTTCCCGCAAAACGGGAAGGGAGAATGTCACCAGCACACCGAGGAGCGCCAATACGGGTCCAAAAGTTTTAATGAACGATCACATAGTTACGCCAAGGCAACGTTTTGGAGTCTCGCAGGACCCCCTTCATCAGGCATGTGACACTGAAGGAGTTGGAGTGAGGAACCTGAAACGTCATCACCAGGAGGCCTCGTTAATCCTCCAAGGTCCATGGGTCTCCAAACTATGGCCCTTCAGGTGTTGAGGAACTGCAAGTCCCATGAGGCCTTGCAAGACTCTGACAGCCACAGGCAAGACTCCCAGAGGCATGATGGGACTTGTAGTACTTCAACAGCTGGAGGGCCATAGTTTCAGGACCCCTGGTCTAGACTACTGGGTCAGAGGAACTCCAAAACTGCAGGTCTTGTGGAATGTTCCCGGTCTACTGTGGTCAGGACCAACCAAACGTGGTCCAAAGGAAGGAGAACTAGCCAACCGGTGACAGGTTCATGGGCATCCAAGACTCATTGATGGATGTGGGGAGCGAAGGCCGGTCTGTGTAGTCCGATCCAGGTAGGCCCCCCAGGGTGTTGAGGAACTGCAAGTCCCATGAGGCCTTGCAAGACTGACAGCCACAGGCAAGACTCCCAGAGGCAGAGGCATGATGGGACTTGTAGTACTTCAACAGCTGGAGGGCCATAGTTTGGAGACCCCTGCTCCACACTGTCATATAATAAACTTCCTTCAGCAAAGCACACACCTGTAAAGAAGAGATGGAATATTTCTCTTTTTGGCACCGCTCAATGCTGATCCGTCGCAGGAACTGAAGTCAACTGGGAAACCAACACTTCTAAGAACATTGATCTTGGTGGTCCCCCGGCAGCTCTTACCAGTTGGTCCCGTTGACCCCACATTATTGTAGGACACGGTGATAAGTGGGCTCAGAGGAAGGAACCAGAGAGAGGTGTTGGGGACCCCAAAGATCGACAGAGAAGACATAAAAGCCAATGGAGACGTTGGGGTGGGGAACCTGAACTGTCATCTGGAAGCCTCGTTAACCTTTCCCTATGCCGGAGTCTATGAATCCGCAGAAGGAAGCCGCCTCGCTCTCTCGCTCTATTCCATACACCATCGGGACAGAAATGGTAAAAGCGTAAAGCGAATCGATGAACAAAAGAGGAGGAGAGGTAATCCAGAGGAAAGTGGGGCAATGGAAGGAAGTGTGTCAAGTGAGATAAAAATATAACCGAACAAAAGAGACACCAAATCCCACACAGAGCCGGGCCGGCGTGGAGGAAATGATGAGGGATTCAGAAAATGCTAAGACAAGTACAGAGCCTCGCGGCACAGCCGGCACGCAGCACGGACCATTCATCATTCGAAGGGCTTCATCTACCTCTTATCCTGCAGCATGACTGCCCTCCGTCCCAGAGGTGTGCAGTGGTCCCCGGGCCGGCGGGAGGCCTGGCCGAAAATGGGCCGGCGGGACGCTTGCCCGAAAATGGGCCGGCGGGAGGCCTGGCCGAAAATGGGCCGGCGGGAGGCCTGGCCGAAAATGGGCCGGCGGGACGCTTGCCCGAAAATGGGCCGGTGGGAGGCCTGGCCGAAAATGGGCCGGCGGGAGGCCTGGCCGAAAATGGGCCGGCGGGAGGCCTGGCCGAAAATGGGCCGGCGGGAGGCCTGGCCGAAAATGGGCCGGCGGGAGGCCTGGCCGAAAATGGGCCGGCGGGAGGCCTGGCCGAAAATGGGCCGGCGGGAGGCCTGGCCGAAAATGGGCCGGCGGGAGGCTTGGCCGAAAATGGGCCGGCTCGCCATAGACAGATGCCATTTTTTCAAACTGCTTGCATATATAAAAGACACAAATGAATGGGGCTCTGTAATCGTTAATGCATTAACAAATGTGTAAGTACCTGAATGTGACCTGGTCTCAGCCTGCTGTACAGCAGAGCTGGGGTGTGAGAGGAAGAAGCAGCACAAGAAAATGTTCACGTGCTGATAGGAGAGAGCAGAGTGACAGAGCTCATCACTGCGCTCCTTCTTTCACTGTCCCGTCGTAGGTTGGAGGTGGCTCCAGGGTGACCTGGGCTCAGAGAAAGCGGGTTAAATGGCCATCAGGCTGAAGACATCTAGTGGCAGAAATCTTATGATTGAAGATGAATATTGCAGAAACCATGAATGTTGATATATTTTTTTTTTATTATTTATTTCAGGTACTTATATAGCGCCATCAATTTACGCAGCGCTTTACATATATATTGTACATTCACATCAGGCCCCGCCCCCGAGGAGCATACAATCTAAGGTCCCTAACTCACATTCATACATACACATACTAGGGACAATTCACCTCCCAGCATGTCTTTGGAGTGTGGGAGGAAACCGGAGTTCCCGCAGGAAACCCACGCAGGCACAGGGAGAACATGCAAACTCCAGGCAGGTGGTGCTGTGGCTATTTTATAACCCTTTTACCACCACTGCTGTATGCCACACCTCATTGGCGGCGGGGATTTCTACACACACTTAGAGCGTGTGTAAATCTGACGAGCTGACTGTCAGATGGAAGTTATCCTGTGGCTTTGCAGCCACCCGATCACACACACCCATAAGTGCCAGTCCCCCACCATGCGCACAACACACCCTCCCCCCCCCCAGCCATTTTTTCTGCACATTGGTGGACCCAAGACCGGCAAAGTGGGTACTGCTGGGTAGTGGGAAGGGAGATCCCCTTTCTGCAAAGCACCCGGAGGGGACCTGGTGTCACTTTCCCCAGGAAGTATGGCCGGGAAGAAGCTAACTGACCACAATCTACACTCTATCAGCTTCGCTGGAAGGCAGGTCAGACATCGGGGGACTTTTTTTGTTTTTTTACACTGGATGCCTCATTAAAGAGAACCTGTCACAAAATAATTATCACAAATAACTTTTTGTCCCCAATCTAATGAAAAATAAAAGTTTAGTGAAGAAAAAAAAATTTAAAAAAAGTTACACCCAAGCACCTAAACCTCCCCTTAAAAAAATGTTTAAACCCCGCCCCCACATACATGTAAATGAATGTAAAAACACATTGGTACAAAAAACATCATTGCTAAAACACGTTACATATCACCATGCGTGTCGGAGTGACAGCAATAATTCTAGGCCCTTTATTCATGTTCAGTTCTAACCTGTAGGGATCCCTTTAGATGCGATTTCCCTTTGGGAATACCTCACCAAAAATCAGATTTTGGGTATCCCCTGCAACAAAAATGTTACTTGCATCTTATGGGAAGATCAGCGAGCCAATCACACAGCAGGAAATGACATGTTGGGGGGGCGCTCTGTATATTATCTGTGTACAGAACGCCTCCAGGCGGCCATATTGCATTTCACAGAAAAATCACAGCGGCTGCAGCTTGAAAGGGAAAGGGAATTTTTAATAACATTTAATTACGATATGACTTGTATCCAAGTTGTATACACTATATTTTTTATTTGCTTTTTTCTTTTTTTTTTATATGGAGTTACCCTTTAATTCTGATTTTCAACCTGAAATGTAAACGCCATTTGACTTCCTGTATAGATGGAACAATGACGACTCCATACACCCCATCCCTCGTCAATCAGAGAACGAACTGCGCCGGGCAGAGTTGAAGTCGATCTGCACATGTATGTCCAGCAGAGGCAGCGATGAGATGTTCTGCCTGTGTGTATCTCCCTCTACAACATACAATCCGCCGCCACGGAGGAGTCGCTTCAGCTCTCGCTGTGTCTTACTATGGAGACGTTTCTGCAGATTCAAAGATTTTATGCGACGCGGCGTCCGGGCAAATATCAGCATTCTAACGGCGCTGCTCCCCGCTGGGGCCGCCCGCGGACAGCGTCGGAGATTCAGAGGAGCGCGGTACAGACCGCGAATGTGCGCGGTACGGCAGAGACAGACGATTTAGCGCAGTCCTCATAAGAATATAAAACTCGGAGGAAAGGCCGTCTCTGAAGAACTAAAAGGAGATAATGGCTAGACGTGTGCGCTTCGCTTGGGTCCGAATAGAAATTCTGACAAATTTTCCGTCATTCGGAGATTCTGATGTATCCAAATT